GGGGTTTGCCCGGGGAGTCCAGGGCAGCTCATTCTTCAGGTGTTGCCACCAGAGGGCTCCAGCTATTGCTAAGGGAGAGGGATTTACACTGCAATGGGGGTAATCCCCCAAAGTGATTCTGCTCTTTTTTTAGTATTTGGCTCAGAGATGCTGTTACTGGGAGGCTTTGAAGAGGCTGGGGGGAATCGGGGTGTGACATGGACTCCAACCCCATCTGCAACCCCCCCATCGCCTCTCTTACCCCAACAGGCTGAGGAATCACATCCACTTTTCGCTCCAGATCGGCCCGTCTTCCAGGAGACAGGGAAGGGAAATAGCTGTGATGGAGCCAGCTCAGGTAAGGGATTTTTAGGGAGCTGCTTAGCAGGGGGAGGGAGAAGCAGGGAGGAGACAGGGTGTGATAAACCTGCTGATTTTCTGAGTAGGACCATTGGCGCTAGTGCAGGAGAGGGACATTCCCCAATTCAAAAGCAGGACATAACCCCCCTGCACAGGACTGGAATCTGAAGCCACTGGCCAGAGGGCCTGAGGCTGCTGTGAAATACAAAGGGAAGCTGTTGGGATTCCTGTCCCTGGCTCAGAGCTCTGCTTCTCATATCAGCCTATGGCTGGTAGGACTGTGGTAAATGAAATGACCCTGCCATGCTCTGTGTGCTGGGGGGGGGGGGACAAGGAGCTCTCACCTTCTCCCCACCCCCTGAAGCCTCCTGGCTGCTCTGAACAGTAGGGGTCTGAGTTCGTTACTCTGGCCCTCCCAGAGCTTCGAGTTCTTTTCCTTTCCATGCGAATAGCGGGATTGTGGCTGGGGCAGCAGGTGCTGAGTGGGGGACTCTTGTTGTTTCAGATGCCGGTGACCTTCGAGGAGGTGGCTGTGTATTTCACCCAGGGGCAGGGGGCTCTGCTGGACCCCGCTCAGAGAGCCCTCTACAGGGACGTCATGCAGGAGAATTACGAGACGGTGACCTCGCTGGGTAAGGGATTCCCATCCCCTCGGTTATTAGAAGCCGAGGGTCAGCATGTTGGACTCTGGTCAGGTTCTTCCCTGGTCAGTTAGATCAGAGGGGAATGTTTTGCATAATGCACAGCTGCCGTGAGAGAGACCTGCATCTCCGTGCCCTCTCCAGTGGGTTACAGGTGTCAAAACCTAATGGACCTGCTAGCTCATCCCCACCCCTCCAGGTTTCAAAGGGACAGAATTCATTCCTTGTCCTGTCTGTATTGATTCCCAGTCAGACACATTTCATAGTAGCAGCCGTGTTAGTCTGTATCCGCAAAAAGAACAAGAGTACTTGTGGCACCTTAGAGACTAACAAACTTATTTGAGCATAAGCTTTCGTGGGCTACAGCCCACTTCATCAGATGCATAGAATGGAACATACAGTAAGAAGATATATATACATAGAAAGAACATGAAAAGGTGGAAGTTGCCATACCAACTCGAAGAGGCTAATTAATTAAGATGAGCTATTATAATTAAGATGAGCTTTTGTAGTGATAATCAAGATGGCCCATTTCAGACAGTTGACAAAGAGGTGTGAGGATACTTAACATGGGGAAATAGATTCAATTCCCTGTTGACCTCCCTTCTTGGAAATAGTTCCAGCCATGGGAAGGGCTCTGGGCTCGGCAGGTTTAGAAATAGGCAGAGGTTTAATGCCAGAGCTGGGTGTGCGTCAGCAAGTCCCCCAGAGAGGACAGTGTGACGGGTTCGATCACAGAAACCTCCTGGGAGCAGCCACCTGATGTGCCAAGACTACCTCTGCTCCTGTTTTCCCTGCCAGCTCAGGACTTCAGCACCATCTGCTCCAACAAAGACCCAGGGTCTGAATTACTTGCTCCAAACCTGCAGGTTTACCTGAAAACAGCTCACTGAAGTGTGCATGTCTTTAGCACTCAGATGCCGACTCCCAATGGGGTCTAAACCCAATTATATCCGTTTTACCCTGTATAAAGCTTACGCAGGGTAAACTCATACATTGTTTGCCCTCTATAACACTGATAGAGAGATATGCACACTTGTTTGCTCCCCCAGGTATTAATACATACTCTGAGTTAATTAATAAGTAAAAAGTGATTATATTAAATACAGAAATAGGATTTAAGTGGTTCCAAGTAGTAACAGACAGAACAAAGTAAGTCACCAAGCAAAATAAAATAAAATGCGCAAATCGATGTCTAATCAAACTGAATACAGATAATCTCACCCTCAGAGATACTTCAGTAAGTTTTTTCCTCAGACTGGACACCTTCCAGGCCTGGGCACAATTCTTTCCCCTAGTACAGCTCTTGTTCCAGCTCAGGTGGTAGCTAGGGGATTCTTCATGATGTCTCTCCCACTTTGTTCTGTTCCACCCCTTTATGTATCTTTTACATAAGGTGGGAATCCTTTGTCTCTCTCTGGGTTTTCCACCCACCACTCCCGCCCCTTACTGAAAAAGCACCAGGTTAAAGGTGGATTCCAGTTCAGGTGACAGGATCACATGTCACTGTAAGACCCCAAGCCATCATTCCTCCCAGCCTGACTCACAGGAAGGCCTGCCTGCAAACAGAGCCCCAGTCAATTGTCCTAGTTGATGGGAGCCGTTAAGATTCCAAACGACCATTAATGGCCCACACTTTGCATAATTGCGAGTGGCTCTCAGAGTAATATTGCTTTTTTCTAGCCCCAGATACAAGAGTTGTACATTTAT